GCGGTAATCGGTGAAAGACGAGCAGCAGCGTAATCAAGGCGACCGTCGGAGCTACGGCCTACGATACTACGTTGTCAGCGACACCGGAGCCTACGGCAAATACACCAGAGGCGACCTCAACCTGCCCAACGCCACAGCAGAATCGAGGACGATCGTCGGAGTTACGATCTCCAAAACGCCTGTTGTCAGCGAAACCGGAGCCTACGGTACGTCAGCATACTGAGCTAACCTGCCCCCAAGCATCATACGTCGGAGTAACGTACAGGGAGCAGAGGCAGCCCCAGCTGATTCAATCTTGACACTAAGCAACGACCGACAGCGGATCGTGTACCAGAAACACCGTCAACACAGCGAAAGTATACAACATGCGAATCACGGCGATAATGTAAGTCCCAAAACAAACACTGTAATCTATACGCATATTGAATGTCGGAAGGAAGCAATATACCCCGCGAACCGATAAGAAACCGTACCTGGTTACATAGTGAGCCTGCAACCAGAACCTTAAGACGACTCGCCGGGTTAGATAACTTTGAAATTCCTTGTTTAATAGACAACACAAGACAACTAATCGACCAAAGCGTGCGCCGCACTTTGAATTTTAATAACGTCAGCTCTCACACGATTGACTCTCCAGCTCATGTAACAGTAGAGCGCGAATTTCCATTCACGGAATTAGATACTAGTTTAATACCACCAGCACAATCTAACGTAAATACCCGAGTATTTAGAAGGCGAATACGGTTACCTTCAACAAGTTCTGTTAGTGATATATCTGCACGAGGTGAATTCTCACTCACCTCTTACGACAGCTCAGTATTTGAACGATCAGATAACGAAGACGAAGCAAATATGGACAATTCACCTCATAGGGAAACACGTACAGTAGGAAATAATGAAATCGACCGAGAAATAGAAAGGTTACAAGCTGAATACGAAACAGGAAATCCGCGAGTAGAAGTAAATCCTTCAGGAAGTCAAAATTTTAACCACACGAATCGCATTGAAACGGACGAAAATACACGACAAAATAGAGAAGAGATTTTGCTAGGAATAATAAATCAAATGAAACATCAAATGTGTCACTTAACTGAACAAGTGAGTGCCCTAACCGCGGACAGACAACATCCTATAAGATCAGACAATATGAACGTAACATACGGACGAACCATGTACGATGTAAGAAATAGACAATCTCGAGCAAGTAGTTATATGCAGTTATCCGAAGCACGGAAAATAATCCCAGAATTTGATGGTACCTCACAAGAACGGTTGCAAGAATTTCTCAACTCAAGTGCATATGTAATAAATAATATAAATCCTGCAGAAGAACCTATGTTATTAGAAGCGATTTTATGTACCAAATTAAAAGGCAAGGCAATGATAGATTTCGATACTAGAGATATTCAAAATTTTAAACAACTAAAAAATGAATTAGAAACATGTTACTCGGTACGAAAAAGCATAACTTGTCTACAATTAGAATTTAATTCAATAAAACAGAAATCCGGAGAAAGTGCTCAAATTTATGGATTACGTGTAGACAAATTAGCAATGCAGCTATACCAATCACTAATAAGTGATCGAAGACACACGAGTGAGCAAAAACGTACTATACTAGATACTGTACAATTACAAGCTCTACAAAATTATCAAATAGGATTACGCGATGAACTCAGAACAATAATACGATCGCGAAATTATAATTCATTGCATGAAGCAATAGCAGCAGCAAGCTCAGAAGAAAAAGTACAAGGGCCTAGTGGAAAACCCTTCGTAAAAATTAAACCTTCTATATACACCCGCAATGAAAAAACTTTATAATGCTACAAATGTGGTAAATTAGGGCATTACGGACAGGAATGTAGAACAAGTCGCTATGCAAATCGATATGTGTTACCGAAACCAATCGAAAATACACGCATAAATGCGGTACAAAAACATTGCGTTTACTGTAAGAAGAACGGTCATAACCGCGATGAATGCTGGTACATACACGGGAAGCCGACCGAGACACGGGACACCGCGAGTGACTACCGTAAACCCTCGCGCCCAGTGACTATCACCGGGCTAGGTATAAATAAACCATCGACATCTCACAGTAACGGGAGCGTCAGATTCAACAGTGACCAGGAGGAAGGAAACAAAAAGGAGCAAAGTCGCGTGCGCGACTACCGCGTAAACCAGATCCGGCAAAATTTACATAGCCGCGCCGGATTTGACCTAGTAAACTTGCCAATAAAGGAAGCTAAACGAAAAAGAATACCATTTCTTGTTGACACGGGATCCGCACTTAGTCTCGTAAAAATACAAACATTAGACGATGATACCCCTATGACTGCAGAAAAATTGACGCTAACGGGTATCACCGGACAAAAAGCTTTCACTATAGGAAAAA